ATTTATGTTGAGGTCTTTGATCCATTTGGACTTAAGTTTTGTGCATGGCGATAGACATGGATCGATCTGCATTCTTCTACATGCCAGTCTCCAATTATGCCAGCACCATTTGTTGAAGATGCTTTCTTTATTCCATTGTATATTTTTAGCTTCTTTGTCAAAGATCAGATGTTCGTACGTGTGTGGGTTAATACCCGGGTTTTCAATTCGATTCCATTGGTCTACCTGTCTATTTTTGTGCCAATACCAAGCTGTTTTCAGGACTATAGCTCTATAATAGAGCTTGAGGTCAGGGATGGTGATGCCTCCGGACGTTGCCTTGTTGAACAGGGTTGTTTTGGCTATCCTGGGTCTTTTGTTTTTCCATACAAAATTGATTATTGTTCTTTCAAGGTCTGTGAAGAACTGTGCTGGGATTTTAATGGGGATTGCATTGAATCTGTAGATTGCTTTTGGCAGGATTGCCATTTTTACTACATTGATCCTACCTATCCAAGAGCATGGGAGATCTTTCCATTTTCTGAGGGCTTCTTTAATTTCTTTCTTTAAAGATTCAAAGTTCTTACGATACAGGTCTTTCACTTGTTTGTTTAGCGTTACCCCAAGGTATTTTATGTTGTTTGTGGCAATTGTAAAGGGTGATGTTTCTCTGATTTCTCTTTCAGCCCTTTTATCATCTGTATATAGTAGGGCTACTGATTTTCTTGAGTTGATCTTGTAGGCTGCCACTTTGCTGAAGGTGTTAATCAGCTGTAAGAGTTCCCTGGTAGAGTTCTTTGGGTCATTGTTGTAAACTATCATATCGTCTGCAAACAGTGAAAGTTTGACCTCTTCCTTCCCAATTTGTATCCCCTTGATCCCCATTTGTTGTCGTATGGCAATAGCTAGGACTTCAAGTACCATGTTGAAAAGGTATGGAGAGAGTGGACAGCCTTGTTTTGTTCCTGATTTTAGAGGAATTGCATTGAGTTTCTGTCCATTTAGTTTGATGTTGGCTGTTGGTTTACTGTATATAGCTTTTATTATGTTTAAGTATGTCCCTGTTATCCCAGATCTCTCCAAGACCTTTATCATGAAGGGGTGTTGGATTTTGTCAAAGGCTTTTTCAGCATCTAGTGAGATGATCATGTGATTTTTGTTTTTCAGCTTGTTTATATGGTGGATTACGTTGATGGATTTTCGTATGTTGAACCATCCCTGCATTCCTGGGATGAAACCTACTTGATCGTGGTGAATGATTGTTTTGATGTGTTCTTGGATCCGATTTGCCAGTATTTTATTGAGTATTTTTGCATCAATGTTCATGAGGGATATTGGTCTGAAGTTCTCTTTCTTGGTTGTATCTTTGTGTGGCTTGGGGATCAAGGTTATTGAAGCCTCATAGAAAGAGTTTGGCAAAGACCCTTCTGCTTCTATTGTGTGGAACACTTTGAGAAGAATTGGTATAAGCTGTTCTTTGAATTTCTGGTAGAATTCTGCACTGAGGCCATCTGGACCTGGGCTTTTTTTGGTTGGGAGACTTTTGATGACAGCTTCTATTTCCATAGGGGTTATAGGTCTATTTAAATTGCTTATCTGTTCTTGATTTAGTTTTGGCAATTGATAGCTGTCCAGGAAATCATCCATTTCCTTTAAATTTTCGAATTTTGTGGAGTACAGGTTTTCAAAGTATGACCTAATGATTCTCTGGATTTCCTCAGAGTCTGTTGTTATGTCCCCCTTTTCATTTCTAATTTTGTTAATTTGCGTGTTCACTCTCTGCTGTTTGGTAAGTTTGGACAAAGGTTTGTCTATCTTGTTGATTTTCTCAAAGAACCAACTCTTCGTTGCGTTGATTCTTTGTATTGTTTTCCTGGTTTCTACTTTATTGATTTCAGCCCTCAATTTGATTATTTCCTGGCGTCTACTCCTCCTGGGGGAGTGTGCTTCTTTGTGTTCTAGAGCTTTCAGCTGTGATGTTAATTCTCTGGTATAACTGTTCTCCTGTTTCTTCATGTGAGCATTTAGCGCTATGAACTTCCCCGTAGCACTGCTTTCAAAGTGTCCCATAGGTTTGGGTATGTTGTGTCTTCATTCTCATTGAATTCGAGGAAGTCTTTAATTTCTTTTTTATTTCCTCTTTGACCCAGGGATGGTGCAGTTGAGCATTATTCAATTTCCATGAGTTTGTAGGTTTTCTGCAATTTGTGTTGTTGTTGAATTCTAATTTTAAAGCATGGTGGTCTGATAAGATGCATGGAGTTATTCCAATTTTTTGTAGCTGCTGAGGTTTGATATGTTGCCAAGTATGTGGTCGATTTTTGAGAAGGTTCCATGTGGTGGTGAGAAGAAGGTATATTCTTTTTTATGTGGATGAAATGTTCTATAGATATCTGTTAATCCCAGTTGGGTCATTACTTCTATTAGCCCTTTTGCTTCTTTGTTGAGTTTCTGTTTGGTATTCCTGTCTAGTGGTGAGAGTGGTGTGTTGAAATCTCCCACTATAACTGTGTGGGGCTTTAGATGAGATTTAAGTTCTAATAATGTTTTTTTAACGAATGTGGATGCCTTTGTATTTGGGGCATAGATGTTCAGAATAGACACTTCCTCTTGGTGGGTTTCACCTGTGATGAGTATGTAATGACCTCCTTCATCTCTTTTGATTGATTTTATTTTAAAGTCTAGTTTGTTAGATATTAGGATTGCTACCCCGGCTTGTTTCTTGGGTCCATTCGATTGAAAAATTTTTTCCCAACCTTTAATTCTCAGGTAATGTCTGTCTTTAAGGGTGAGGTGTGTTTCCTGTATGCAGCAGAAGGAAGGGTTCTGTCTTCGAATCCAATCTGCTAGTCTGTGTCTTTTTATGGGTGAGTTAAGGCCATTAATATTGAGGGATATTAATGACCAATGATTGCTCATCCTTCTTCGATTTGCGATGGTTGTTGTTGGTGGAATTATGTGTGGAATTTCACCCCTTTGTTCTTTTGGCTGTTGGTAGAGAGAGATTCTCTAATGCTTATGTTTTTCTGGTTGTAGTTAGCTTCCTTGGGTTGGAGTTTTCCTTCCAAAATTTTCTGTAGGGCTGGGTTAGTGGACACATATTGCTTGAATCTAGTTTTGTCATGGAATATCTTGTTTTCTCCGTCTATAGTGATTGAGAGCTTTGCCGGGTATAGTAGTCTGGGCTGGCATCCGTGGTCTCTTAGTGTAGGTAGAATATCTATCCAGGACCTTCTGGCTTTCAGCGTTTCCATGGAGAAATCAGGTGTAATTCTGATAGGTCTGCCTTTATATGTTACTTGACCTTTTTCCTTAGCTGCTCTTAATATTCTTTCTTTATTCTGTATGTTTGGGGTCTTGATTATTATGTGGCGAGGGGATTTTTTTGTGGTCCACTCTATTTGGTGTTCTGTAGGCTTCTTGTACCTTCATTGGCATGTCTTTCTTAAGGTTGGGAAAGTTTTCTTCTATGATTTTGTTGAATATACCTTCTGCCCCTTTGAGCTGGATTTCTTCTCCTTCTTCTATACCTATTATTCTTAGGTTTGGTCTTTTCATGGTGTCCCATATTTCCTGGATGTTTTGTGTTAAGGATTTGTTGGATTTAAGGTTTTCTTTGGTTGATAAATCCATTTCTCTAGCGTATCTTCAACACTTGAGATTCTCTCTTCCATCTCTTCTATTCTGTTGGTAATGCTTGTATTGGTAGTGCCTGTCTGTTTGTCCAGCTTTTCTATTTTCTGCCTTTCTTCAGATTGTGTTTTTTTAATGACTCTATTTCAGTTTTCAACCCTTGCAGTGTTTGCATTGCTTCTTGCAATTTTCTGTTTATCTGTTTGTCCGTTTGTTGCCTTTTTTGGTTTGTTTTTTGTTCCATTTCTCGCATTTTGTGCTTTGTTTCTTCTTCCATTTCCTGCCTTTTTTGGTTTGTTTCTTCTTCCATTTTTTCATTTTTTGCTTTGTTTTTTCTACCATTTCTTGCATTTTTTGCTTTGTTTCTTCTTCCATTTCCTGCCTTTTTTGGTATGATTCTTCTTCCAATTCTTGCATTTTTTGCTTTGTTTTTTCTTCCATTTCTTGCATTTTTTGCTTCATTTCTTCTTCCATTTTCTGCCTTTTTTGGTTTGTTTTTCTTCCAATTCTTGCATTTTTTGGTTTGTTTTTCTTCCATTTCTTTGAGGGATTTTCCAATATCCTCTTTTAGGGCCTCTATCATTTTCATGAAAGTGCTTTTAAGGTCGTTCTCTTCTGCTTCGTCCGCATTGGAATGTTGGGGTCTTGCTGGTGTGGAGTCTCTAGAATCTGGCGGTGTCATATTTGTTTTTCTGTTGCTGACTGTGTTTTTGTATTGTCTCTTTCCCATCTCTTCTTCTAGTGGGTGCAGAAAGAGCCCCTTACTGGTCTGGGGACCAGAGTTCCCTTTGGTGGGTGCTAGCAAGTCCAATAATCTGGTGGTTCTTCTATTCCTTGTCTGAATGCTGGTCCCGTGGGTGGAGAAGAAGAACAGGAATCTGGGGCGCTTATCCTCTTACCTGGTCCCCTGGACCCTATGCTGGGTCCTGTTGTACTTGATCCAGAACAGCTACTCCCCTGGTCTCCCTGGGTCCTCTGGTTTCCTGGTCTCGTTGGTGGGAGAGAAGACCTGGGGTCTGGGTGCTTGGCTCCCGCCGGGATTGGGAGCTCTGTGCAGGTCCCAGGCGATCTGCAGGCACTGGAGCACAGGCCGGGAAGCCGGCCTGTTTACCTGATGCTGCTGGAAGAACCCCTGCTTCACTGGACTCCCAGCCTCCTCTCCTTTCCTGGTCTCGTTGGTGTGAGCGAAGATCCGGAGTCTGGGGTGCTTGGCTCCCGCCGGGATTGGGAGCTCTGTGCAGGTCCCAGGCGATCTGCAGGCACTGGAGCACAGGCCGGGAAGCCGGCCTGTTTACCTGATGCTGCTGGAAGAACCGCCGCTTCCCTGGACTCCCACAAGAGAAAGGTTCTTAGTGAGACCAAAGATTTACAAAATATAAATCCAATACCTAGATCTTGGAGTCTGCTGTAAAGATAGTATTTGTTCTTTGTTCATAGGAGTTTCTTGCATGTAGGGCCAATGTTAGCTTTTTAGCTGTGGGTTGATAAAGAGAGAGACAAGTAGGCCCAGTAAACTAATTAAGGCAGATCTTTTATTTTTGTCTTTTTTAATTTTATATTTAAATGAGAAACAAGGTTGCTTCAAATGTCAATCCCAGCTCCCTCTCCCTCCCAGCCTCCCATGCCCTCCCACCAACTCCCCCCTCTCCCCTCCTCCAGTTCCCACTCCTTATCCAAGGGAGAGTGAGGCCCTCCATGGGGTGTGTCCATAGTCTGTCATTTCATCCAGGGCAGGGCCTAGACCCTCCCCCAAGACTCCAGGCTGAGAGAGAATCTCAAATTGTAGGATGGGCACGCAAAGTCCATTTGTATGCCAGGGATAAATACTGATCTACTACCCAAGGCCCTATAGGTGGCTTAGGCCTCCTCACTGACACCCACATTCAGGGGTCTGGATCTTTAAGAATGGCTTGGTAAACTTTTTTAAATAGATAAATTCATTTGGCTTTCTCAGTTGTCCAAGTTCTTTCAATGTTCCTCTTAGCCCACTGCTTCTTTATACCAAAGAATTGCCAAAAAGATCTACTACAGTGTCTGAGGACAGAAATGGGATAGGGAACTCGATTTCTGTTATTGTACAGATATAGCCACCCACAGACACATGCCTTGAAATATTTTTCCTCATCGGTGAATAGCTTTTCTTTTTCTTAAAATGAATATTAAACTACTTATATTTTAAAATTTCATCATCTCAATTTTATTATGGTTTAAGATTTCAGTTGTCTTGCATGCTTGTGACAATCTACGGTTTACATATGAAGAAGGGATAGAAATATTGCTAGTAACAAAGTTTGTGTCTAGGCCTCCTAAGATCCATTCTCACCAGTTCATACAAAACAAAAGAAAAAATAAGGATACTTTTGAGCAAGAAATAAGAACTTAATATGGAAAGGTGACTATCCTTGATAGTTGGGTCACGATCCCAACAACATTCATGGTAGTTGATGTGAAAAATGGCTCTATGAGCCCAGGAAAATGACCACACTAACCAAGGCATTTTGATAGGGTAAAAGATTTACTTCTGCAAAACAGTGCATATATAAGTTTAATAAAGCCAGCAAGAACATCCAGCAGAAAGTCTGTTGAGTTTTTAATTCCTCACCCAAAAGGGCAAAGGTGTGCTTTGCCTAAACATAAACTAAACTGCTGAAAATGTAAGTCATCTCAACGAAATGTTTTCCATATATAAAAATTGCCGTGGCCATCATATTTCTTCACAGCAATTAAAAAAATAAACCTAAGGCAGACAGTGATATTCATTAGACCTCTTCCCATTTCTGTGTGTCTGACTCCTCTTTTGGGGTGGGAATATGGGAGGTGTAGCAGTTACAGAGAACACATGACTTAGAAGAATAATTAATAATCCTAATAATGACAGAGATCAAAGAAATCAATGTAATGACCTAAAATAATGACTGAATTTCCTTCTCAACCTAGCTAAACTCACCCAAAGATTTATCAGGTTAAGTTTTCTATACCTCCCCACTTGTGTCCCTGTAGGTAAACCTGTGGTTATACAACTAAGTAATTTTGGATGCAATTGTCACTCATATACAGACAATAATCCTGCCTAGTATCACACTACAAGTCAATAAGGCAGCTATGAACAACTGTTTTTGGGGGGGGGGAGGAGGCAACTTAGCATAAGTTAGAGAAGTCTACTGCTTTAGGTTTAACTGCAGATAAGAAAACTGAAATAAAGAGTCACTAATTTTCTCTTGTGATAGATGCATACATGGCAAAGAATAACAATTTTTTCCTGAAAAACTGTATTATATATTGATGGTAATAACTTCCATTTTATTTTATAATTTTACAGTGATCCATCCATATTTATATGTTTAATGTTCCTTGAAAAAGGAGAATATATACATTAAGTAGCCTATTTTCTCTGTGTCATTGAGTTTTAAAAAATTAGACCTCAATATGAAGCATTGTCATGTGAGTGTTAGCAATCATGGATTTATTTACTTTAAAACAATTGATCTTCATATTTTTGGAATTTAACTTTATACGCATAATGTGCCCATATCTATAGAGAGTTTGGAATATGTATCTTGATTTATTTCATAAGCACAATTATAAAAAGCACATGCTAGTTTTATAATTCAAGTGACTGTGTTCAATAAAGGTAAAAGATGGCGATATAAATGGAAAATCACACAAACAGTATCAAATACTATTTTTTCCAAATATTATATGAGCAAAATACATATTATTATATCAGGTTTGGCATTAGGTAAAGTCTGGATGGTAAGTTCTGGATAATTGAGACTAATTCGAACTACTTTCTCAACAACAGGATAAAGGTATACAGCACCCCATCTCATGTATCTTTTTGATTGCGTTGTTCAGCGTAGTGTGATTCTAAAATTGATCTCTCCATCCCAAAGTGTATTCATTATTATGTTATGGATTTATTCTCATTCTTCAGGGCTAAGGTGATATCCTGCAAAAAACACTCTGAAATCCCTTTCACAAACACCTGCATTTTCTTTAGTACTTTTCTGTTCTCAGTCTCCATCTCTACCATGCCCTTAAATTGCCCCATCTATGGAGTGAATACTGTATTGAAGTCACGCATCCTGCACCACCAAGTCCTCAGTATACAGAGTTCAGGAGTTGAGGAGCTTCAAATGCTCCTTTACCTTCTGCTTGTTTTCTCATTCCTCATTTTCTTTTGACACACAATCACTGAGAGCACTTGACAGTCTCATGGAGCAAAATCTACTACAATGTAAGATGAAAAATACATTTATAGAACTGTATCAATTATGTAATGATCATTGTTATTTTGGAATTATTTTAAATAGGAGATAAAAGCAAGTAGGAAGTGATGTTAGTGGATTTCACAGTCAGTCATTACTTTTGCTAGAGAGGGTATCCTCATTGTTAAAGAAGTTGACACCAAAATCTATTAGTATTCAAATCCAGTTAGAAAGCTCACTTATTATCAACATTTCAAATATGTACATTTTGGATCTCTTTGTGATGAAATGGTACAGAATTGATGCCACCCCAGTGGTCATCAACACCCTAACTCAGCAGCTTACTTAGTGTCTCATAAATAGAGGGGAACAAAAAGACAAGGGTCTGACCTTAAGTCTGTTTTTTCCCAACCCTTCTATGTTAGAGTCTCCCAGATCGGTATCTTCCCTTCACTTGTCCATTAGCAAGCTCTTCAAAAGTGAAGCTATGTCATTAATGTCTTCTATGCTTCTCCTTCCCCAATTTTTATGTTTTTTCTCCTACAAGCTATCATAGGTATTGAATTTTATCAAAAATCCTCTTATTTAGTTATCAAAGGATACTTCTCTGATCCAGCTTCCCTGTTCATAACAGTGTGGAGAAGATTTCATCATAGCAATCTTACAGGACTGTCACCTCTTCTTGTGTGACATAGAAGCCTGGGGCATTTCTTCCTAGTCTACACTTAGGTAGAGGAACACAGGGTTTATAAGGAAACAAACAAGCAAGCAAATAGAACCCTTGAGGGATATGAAAACTACTGGAAGTTTAATAGAGGATTTGATGTCTGAAGAAAGCAAATTCACACATTTGTGGGGGGATACACAGGTACTGTAGTCCCAGTATTCAGGAAGATGAATTTCTTGGGCCCAGAAGTCCAAGGCTAAGAAAAGAGAGCTGCTTGCTCATATATCAAAGGGAGGAGAGGACAGGATTGGGTGACTAAGAGAGTGGCAGGTTGGGGAGATGAGAGATGAAGCAGGAGGAGAGTGACAAGAAAGGAGAAAAAGGGACAGGAAGAAATGTTTCAACTCTGCTGATGTATGTGTGGACCACAGATATTCTCAACCCTGAAGCATGTTTTTTCATATTTATTCTCAGTTCACTATACTGGCTACCTAAGAGGAACCTCACATCTTCAATAAACTCTTTAAGTTCTTCAATGGCCATGCCTGTCCATTCTCTCTGTCCCAATCCTCTGCAAAAGTGTGTGTGTGTGTGTGTGTGTGTGTGTGTGTGTGTGTGTGTGTGAGAGAAACAGAGAATTCAATACAGTTCTTTAAAGTCTTTTCTAGATATAATCATATGAGAGTTTTCTTTATTTTAGGACATACAGTTTGGTTTCTGTGTTTTATAAAGGTTCTCTTTCAGTAACACAGATCATTCCCCAACAGACCTGTGCAAAGTTTCCTAGACTTGTCAGCCACAGATCACTCTAGAAAACATCTTGCTCTAGATATTGAACTTAACAGATTTGAACTTAACCTCTTTTACCTACCTTTGATACTTGGAAGGAAACTACATGCAACACCAGAGACTGAAACAGATAAATCATTCATGACTAAATAAATAACAACAGGTAAAAACTAATGAAAAGTTAACTGTAGTCATTTATCTTCATGTCCGATTCATTATTACAGCAAAGATCTTCTGTGAGTTAAAGTGGCCAAAGTGTCCATGTGAATAAACAGTTCATGACCTATAGCATTGCTGAAGTAAGAAGGCAAAAATAGAAGCTATTTTTGCTCAAAAGAGTCTAAAAATATCAAATCAAATATACCACTCTATTTGGTACAGCAAGGCCATATGTATATATATTATCCATTACATATTTAATTGAACTCCATGAGCTATTAGTTCTTATATGGACCATTTCATTTTAAGGATTATTTTCAATTTTTAAATTAAAGATGACATTTCAGTAGAGTTGATAGATATTGCAAAAGCAAGACTAAAACTAATGACAAGTTAACTGTAGTCATTTATCTTCCTGTCCGATTCATTATTACAGCAAAGATCTTCTGTGAGTTAAAGTGGCCAAAGTGTCCATGTCACAGGCTTTATTGCATGACAGTTTCCCATACGTTTTGGCAGCATCGTTCTTTTATTAAAGAGAATTTCCTTAAAGACAAAATCATGATACTCTGACAAATGAAATATTCTCCTGTAATTTTTGCCTATGATTAGTGAATAAAAAATAAAAAGTGACAGTAGAGATTGCAGTATCTGCCAAGAGTCGTCATTGCCACATTACATAGGTAAGATTTAAAGGAGTCTGCTGATGTCCAATGCCAAGGACCTGGTCTCTATACACATTAAGAATACCAGAACACCTGAGTGTTTGCCAAAAAGCTGAGGAGATATTGAAAAAGCATGTTGGAAATACTGATTAAAGAGAAAACTAATGAAGAATCTAAGGATCAAAATTTGCTACCAAGAACCTAATTTGCCTTATTTAACCTTGTCTACTTGACCTTACTTAACCTTTTCTACTTGCAGTGATGCTTTCTAGCAAGTAACAACTAATCCCCACTGGAAATGAATGACTCTGGAAGATGGTGCACGGTAACTTTGGTTTGACCCTGAGGTTGTTTCCCAATAGGTCTTTGTTTCATTTTGCTTGCCTCTGTAAGGGAAAAGGACTTTCTCCATCACAAATGAAAAACTCATCTCATTACTTAAGGATCCTTTGAGGTTCATGGTGAACACACAGATTTACTGACTTCTAATTTAGTTAATACCACCCTTGTCTAGAGGCTACAAATCCAAAATAGACAGACTTTCTTCCTGTGGACTGTGTGCCCTGTGTCTCCACATATTAATTATAGTGGAACACAGTCACTTTCCAAATCACTAACACATTTGAGAATTGGTTCTACTACTGAAAAGCAAGCCAACACCAGCAGATTAACTTTTAGTGTTACCCCTTGTCAATTTTGCATCGAAAAGTCCTTACCTTAATCCCTATGATGTTATTCTTTTCCTTTATGGACTCATCTGAGATTCAAGGTGGTCTGTTAGTTGAGGGGCCCTATAAAACCAAAAGTCAAATCATCCACTTTCAACAAGTAATGATACAAATATTCTGATTCTAAAATGAGGAAGACAGGACATGGAAAAGCATGATGGGGTATGCACTTCTGTGCTTATGTTTCTAGTATTAATTGATGAAGAAAACACCTTCTGGCCAATGAGGCAGGAAGATAGGTGGGAGGAGGATAAAGAAGTCCGCAGCAGAACCAGGCTGGTTAGAAAGTAACCAGCAGTCACAAAAGAGAACCACAGTAAGACCAAACCCGATGGGAAAGCTCTTCAGTGCCTCACGGGACTTCCCGATCCTCCACCAGTTGGGTTGCCGGTGGCACCTGGTGCTCTCTCTGGGGTTAGCCCCTCAGCAGACACAGCTTTTTTAGATGAGCATTCCAAGTTTCAGGTATCCTTGATTTCCTGTACACACATTTCCTGTATACACAGTCTTCCTTTGCACAGTTTTGAACCCAGCCCACACAGGAGCTTTATTTGGGAATCCACCCTTGCTACATGCTGCATGGTCTCAGCTGCTTTCTGGAACATCAGTGCAACCCTCTGTGAACCCTCACTCTAACATTTTCTCATTTATAAACTGTAACAAAGTTGATAAAGGCAACTGTTGCTGCTAACTCAGGGTGTCTGCTAGACTTCAGAGACGGTGAGTTCTCACAGAGCCTATATGGTTAACTGGAGAAACAATTCCTTAGACACCCCTGCTCCAGCACAGTTTCCTAGAGCTTCCCTTTGTTTGGTATTCTCTTTTAAAATTAAATATCATTGAACCGTGGAGCGTAAATGGGTGGCATTTTGCCACACAGCACCTATGCCTATCATATTGTCCTGGTGCAGTATCTCTAGTTTCCTTAAATGAAGATTTAGTTAACTAAATTTAACAATTATAGTCTGATCTGTCTCGTCCACAGTTTGAAACTGAGTCTCAATCCTGTATTTTTTTTCTTTTACCAAACTATGCTTTTTTCACACAGGATGTAAATTTTGAATCATTGCTGTAAAAACCTCATTAAGCATAGACAGAAATAACTGTACTGAAGCTTGAATGCTGTGCTAACTTGAATTCAGCAGACCTAGAGGAAGAGAGAAGTGTTTGCAAGCTCTCTACCCACTTTCTTTTTCCTTTATTATATCCAAGACCCCAGGCCATGGATTAGCGCATTCATGCATGGGCTGGGCCTCTGTGTTTCCTGTAATCATCTATGTAGTCTGTCCTGTGGGTACCCAAGTTAGCCTCAGGCTCCACAGTGATTCTAACTGCAACTCGAATATTGTATTGTGAGGCTCAAATGTTGTGTCTTGATGGGGACTGTGTTGGAAAGAAAAAGAACAGTACCAGGATGAGAACCCAGGGCTATTTCATTGTTTAGTTTACCTCCTCACCCAGGAAGTTGCTCTGCCCTGTAGAAGATGCTACTAAAGACCTAACTGACATTGGTTCCATACACTACACTATTTCCCAGTTATGTGAGATAGTTTAAGCTTCATTCATCCTGACAAGTCTCTGGAAAAACCCTCTACTACACTAATACCTGTTTGTCCTTCAAGACTGTCAGGAAGTTCACCACAGGGAGCCTGTTCTGCCCCACAGCTCCCAGGATTGCATTATAAAAGGATTTTTAATTATTCTTCATCACAATTTTCTTCAACTTTGCTGTGTATGAAACTGTTTGGGAAGGACTGTCACATGAAGCCTTGTTGGAGGAGGTAGGTCACTGGAGGAAAGCCTCAGGTTTTAGAAGATCTCACCGTTCCCAGTTATTACTCTCATGTCTTCTGATCCTGTTTCAAGATGTGAGCTCCTAGATAGTCCTCCTACATCACACCTTCCTGCTGTCATGCTCCCCAACATGACTGAAAATGTAGCCACCCCCCAACCCTTCTTCTCTAAGTTGCCTTGGCTATTGTGCCATGTCAGAGCAACAGGAAAGAAACTAAGTAACTGTGGTTTTTTTAAATGTATATGTGCACTACGTAGTCCAACTTAACCTCCTTGCTGCTCTCATAGAGCATCCCAGTTCAGTTCCCAGCAACTAAGATGTAATTCCAGGTTCAGGAAATTAAGCTTCTTTTATGGCCTCTGTGGACACCTGAATTCACACACACACACACACACACACACACACACACACAAACTCACACTCAGAGAGAGAGACAGAGAGACAGAGATAGAGTGACAGAGACAGAGAGATGGCAGGAGAGTTGAAAGAAATAATTCTAGTCCTCTTCTTTCAGCACAGGGCATCAAGATTATAGACATGCACAATAACTGGTGGGTGCAGTTTCTTTTGTTTTCAATGTAGCATTGCATCTCATCAATTCCTCCATTAAAAAGCATGTATAATGTTTTATTACCTACAGGTGAATTCTACTGTAAGGGGACATTTTACCTTTATGTTTGTTCTTTGCTAAACTTTTAGCTCAAGCCATGAAATGACAAACAATTGTTTCCCAGTTGTGGACAAATTGTGGTCCTATCTCAGATCTAGATCATGTTTCAATTTATGGAGTTTGAATGAAGGATTACAAACATGATTTTTCCATGGGTGATGATAATATAGTTTTTGTCATACTCTTTTCCTTTGGTAGATAATGCATGACTCAGAGACTTAGCTGTTGTTTCCCAGTGTCTGACACATCCTCAATGGGACATTGTATATTTATTTTTATGGAAACATGGTATTGCCAAATCTGAGCTAGATTTCCTATTAAAAAATGATTGAATCCTCAAACGTCTCAAATATTGGTCCCTGCCATTCAGTCACTTGTTAAAGACAGTTGCCACCATATTTCTTAAAAACCATTTCTTTCACATACAAAGCACATGTCCCCTAAAATAATGAACTCCTCTCCTCAAACTTTAAGGTAATCCCAGAATCTGACTAATCTTAAATCTTAAAATGACTAATGATCCCAAAATGTTAAGTGGAATATCACAATGGATACAGAATTGATGCTTATCACTGAGCTCCCTCCATCCCTAAACTTAACCTCTATCTACATTTGGGCTTATTGTCTTCATCTTTTTTCTAGCAAGAGTCAAGTTGGTTCCTGAGTTTATTCCTCTTCAGGATTGCTAGCCACAGATTCACAAGTGTGGAGGGAGCAGCAATGGGGAACAGAGTTCAGATGTCTGTAGATATGATAGAGTTAGCTGTCTGGGAGATGACTTTGGTAAGACAATTCAACTTTATTTCAGAGTTTGTGGAATATATAGGTTTCAGGACAATGGCTGGCAATCACCTAATTTGCATTAAACAGCATGGTCCAATCATATAGCTGGGTTCCTGACAGCGTAAGCATATGAACATAGCTAGAAAAAGTTACTAAGTTACTTAATTACCATGTGATCAGAAGGGGAAGAGGGTTTGCAGGGAACTATGTCAGGAGTCATTCTTGAGATGAGTCAGACATGATCAAGATAAGGCTAGGTAGAGAATACAGAAATCAGAAAGCCTCACTGGGGAATGAGTATTTCATGTTACCAAGCTTGGACAAAGCTACTAGGCCATGGTAGACTGCAACCTCTGATCAGGAGGTTTTCCAACATTGGTTCTTTCGCTAATTCACCCAGCCAATTAATGATTCCCTTTGTACCTAACTTTCTTCTCATAGCTCTTTTATTAGAAAATCCAAGGATAATCATTGCCTGTTAAAATTATTTCTCTTCTTCAAGGCTAAGATTATTTTCTTCCTATAAGCTACTTTCAGCAGATATATCACATGTGAGTTGTCCCAGCTATCAATGCTGCAGGGTCTGACTCACATGACCACTGTACTCATTGTTCACAGTTAGTCCATCTTTATATAAAATACAGTACACGATTCCCCTGGGCCTTCTTATTTGTGTTGTATTTATGTATATAAAAGAGGATATTATTTTAATTCACCCAAGGGCTTTATCAGATGAAGGTTTAAACAAATAGTAATTTTACTTTCTATAAGGATTATAATTTAAAAGTTAAAATAAGAGTCAAAAATAAAATATGCTATGTTGAGATTACAGAGCTCGTGACAGTGTCACTGGTTTAGGAACGAGTTCCTACTCTGAATTGGTTGGGGAGAGAACGTATTTGTGAATTCACTGTTCCATTGTCTAATTTCTTGGCAACAACAAACTCTAATCACTATTGCCTCAAAACTTCTTGGAGAGCTTCTTCAGATGGTATATAGAGGGAAAGACTCAGTACTCTTGGCTGTCAAAGGACAGGTCTGATATCACCTGACCTTATGTGGTAGGCTACTTTACAGAAAATCCCCTGGACCTTCTTTCTCTGTATCCTGAGTATTGTTAAAAGTGGTTCCTGTAGTTGTCTCAGGTCCCATTGAGATTATTTAATTGTCCTGTATGCTGGGAGTGTTTATCCTACCAACAGACACATCTGCCACTTGGAAATTGTCCTTCTTATTCTGTAACAAACAGAAAAAAAAGACATCACAGTGAGAGTGGAACACAAATCTGCCTAGTAAAAATGTTTAGCTGCCACAGTAGACAAGACATTGTTTTAATTTCATAGTCCACTGCAAACATTAGCTCATTCACAAACTAATTAAGAAAGAGGAAAGCAGAATGATCTGGGGTAGTAAACAGTGTTTACTTGGTCAGCAGGCAGAAGCAGTCCATGGAACTTAAACTGTTGTTGTCCTCCGTTCTGCCTCACCCCACCCATGCCTGACCTGTGGTCCCTACTGCTTTCTCTATTTCAAGGGAAATAAAACAGGATTCCTGATTACAGGTGATGTGGTAATTTTATATTCCAGGCTAGTCTTGTGTGTTGAAAATTTAAGAGAATGTACAAAAAAAAATTCTTGTTCTAACTCATGCCCTCAATCTTTATACATTTTATTGTGTTTTTCCTGTGTGTGTTTGACAAGGGTGGGACATGACCTATGAGCTACATTTCATCTTGAAGACACACTTTAAGGAAATAATTTAGAGGGTCATTGCAAAGGCAAAGTTATGCATAATACAAAAAATTGTGGAAATGGAAGACACTTGGGAAAGGTGCCCCATTAAAGAGGAATATTGAGGTTAGATTATTAATGAAGTTTTAAAACATAGCTCCCAAATTTATACTTTCTCCTGTTCTGTAACTATAACCTAATGAGAACACAGAAGAAATAGGTGAAAGGAAGAAACCTAACTGCTTGATTACTGCTTTGAAAAGAACTGTAATTGCACCTCACATAAAACGACATTTAATTTTTTACAACTCTGTAA